AATTTGTTTGATGATCTGAAACATGTAAGTGTGACAAACAAATAAGAAATCAGGAAGGGGCAAACACTTTTTCACACAACTGTATAAACACACACACACACACACACACACACACACACATATATATATATACATATATATACACACATACATACATACACATACATATATACACATACATATACACACATACATATACATATATATATATACACACTTACACATACATACATACATACATACACACACATATACATACATACAGTACATACATACACATATACATACATACACACACATACACATACATACACACACATACATATATATATATATATATATAATAACATAAAAATAAGGAAAGTGCTAATAGGAAAGTCACAGTCAGCAAGGTTTTATCAATAAAAAAGTACAAACCTTTAAAATAGGAAAGGATTTTGAATAAATCATGATGCAGGCTTAACACAACCAGTTGGTTTGTACTTCCACTACTATTAATAAACTCTAATTAATTAATTATTATTAAACTCTAATCCGAACACGAAAATCCTGAAATGTAAATTTAAAAAAATCAGTCAAGAGAACTGATCCAGAAATATCCCAGGTAGGCTCCATGTTGTGTGATAGGTGGTTAAATTATTTTTTATTAAAATAGTTTTATTATTTTTAATAACATGATGTATATTTATTATAGATGAAAGTATGAAATATTGCTGACAGTAAAGAGAAGTAGTAACTAAATACTTGTTACGGGCTTGTGTTTTCTTGTCGATTTCTGATTTTCATCCACCAAACGGAAGGAAACTCATTCATGATTTTGTATTATTTTTTGCAGCATTTCAAAACTTTGTGTAATATTCGTTAGCCGGCTGAATGGAAGCACAGCTTCTCTCTTCTCTCCTCTCGTCGACTCTGCCAGGAAAAGTCACACTTATCTTGAAAATCGATCGATTTCACGCAGAGGACCAGGAGATGTTTCAGGCCTGAGCTCATCATGGATCAGAACCTGTCTGTCTTTACGCCCGCCTGTCCAAAGCTGTTTCCTGGATGAGTAAACACCTATACAGAGACTGCTTCCTGTCATGGGTTAGTGTCAAGAAAATAGCATCCTGTATGCCAGAGGGTTGCATAACAGCTGGAAACAGCACAAAGAGTGCAATGTTTCCTTATCAGTTTGTGTCAACTGTACAGATTGCCCATATGTTATTTTATATTACTGAAGCAAACAGGAGTAAATGGACCAGTACTAAAAACACAAGCGCCCCAGTTTACACTGGAGCCGAATGCGTGCAGCAGGGAGATGGTTGCACGCATGCTCAGAAACAAAAGCTGCATAAACAACAGCGGACCAGAAACACACCTCAGTGCTCAAAGAAGTCCTTCTCCTGACAGAACCAATCAAGCAGCTCCTCCTGAGATCAATACACACACACACACACACACACACACACACACACACACACACACACA